GACGCTCGCGCTCCGGACCTTCGAAGGTCTGTGGCGGACGCAGAGCGCGCTGGGGGACGGGCAGAAGCTCGCGGCGGCGGCGGACCTCGAAGTCTGGTTCGACCACGCGTGTCGGCGCCAGACCACTCTGGAGCGCCTGCGCGCGCTCGACATCAATGCCTTCCTCGAGAAGATCGGGGCGCCGCAGACGTCGCGCGCGTCCATGCGCCGGGCGTGGTCCTTGATCCGGCGGAACCGCCTGACAAACGCGACGAGCATGACCATGCAGCGCGGCGCCGCGGACTCCGCCGACGGCTCGGGCCCGAGCACGCCGCAGGCCATGCTCGAGGTCGAGCGCGTCGCCGGCGACCTCAGCGAGGAGTCGCGCCGCCTCGTCCGCGAGACGATTCGCGAGCGGCGCCCGGTGGAGGCCGCCTCCGTCCGGCATCGGCGAGAGGGCGGCCTCCTGGACCTCGACGGCGCGAGGGAGCAGCAAGGCCTCCTCCGGCGCCTCCAGACCATGTCCGTGGCCGACGCGTCTCCCGAGGCGCCGGCGGAGCCGCCGCGGTCGAACGTCGGCGTCGCCACGTGGCGCGTCGAGTCCGACCACGCCTACGTCCTCAGCCCGAACGAGAAGCAGAAGATGAACCGCGCGCGTGCCGCCCCTCGGCGCGAGCCCCTCTCCCCGGTAAACGCCTGATCTGCTCCAACATCGAGCCGCGTCGACCGCACGGCCGCACCCCGCAGCGGCTCCCGCTGACCGCCGAACAGATCCGGAGCTTACGCCCTATGTCCCCGCTGTCCATCGCGCGCGAATTGGAGCGACCCGGAGCCCGACGCCCGCCCCGGGGCGCCGCGCCGCGGCCGGGCGCGCTCCCGGCCCGGGCCGCGCGCCGGGGCGACGGGAGCGCGACCGCGGCGGGACTTTGGACGCTGGCGCGCCCCTCGACGTGACCCTCGATGGATCCCACCGCCCCCGGCTCGTCGCAGACCCCAGGATCGGTTCGCGCCGGCGCGCCGGCTCCTCGCGCTCCGACCGCGTCGCGGCCGGCGGACCGTTTCGCCAAAGGTCGGCACATCGTCGAGCAAACGCCATCCCGCGCCCTTCGGCGCGACCCCCGAGCGATCGCGCCGCTCCTGCGCGCCCAACAACGCGGGGAACACGCCCCGGCGCCGCCGTACCGTCTCGGCCGTCGTCGAAGCGGCGCGCGCGCGCGCGCGCGCGGGAACATGTCGTCGTGCCCGGCGCGTCGCCGCAGCGACTCGGCCACAAAACTGGGGCGTCCGGCGAGCCGCTCGGCGGCCTCGGCGGGGCGTCGGAAGGCGCCGCAATCGTCGACCGCGTCGAGGGGCCGATTTTGCGACGCCGCGCAAACCGACGAAATCGGCGCGCGACGACGAAATGGGGCGTCGGAGACCGAGGTCCGGTGCGGGTCTCGACGTAGGAACCGGCGCGGGGTCGGGACGCGGCGCAGTGGCGCCACAGACAGCCTGTCCGCGGCGGCGGCCAAGTTAGTGATGCAGCATAGCCTGCGTAGTATCTGCGTAGTCCGCGCCCGCGGTGTACTCGTGCGCGCCGACGGTGGACCGCGACGTCGAGGAGCCCTGTGCCACTGAGACCCGCGACGGCCGCGGCGCGCCCCAAGGGATCTGGTGTCGAGCAGGATGGAGTTGCTCGACGGTTGGCTTCATGATGCGGCCGCAGACCTGGTCCACCCCTCGCGTGGTGTTCCGACGACGCGGCCTTTCGCGTTCGAGTGCGAGAGCGAGGCTGTGACGGCGGCTGAACACGTGTGGGAGCCCTCGACGAGGGCCGCGGGCGCGCGGGAGAGGCGCGCCATGGTCCACGCCTGTCGGGCTTTGCGGATTCAGATTAAGAGCTTCGAGGATGACTTCCGTTCTGTCGCGGGCCACGCGCCTCGCGGTGGCGAGCGAGTCCCGCTCGCATCGACGTACCGCCAGTATCGCGAATGGAAGCGTGACATCCGCGACCACGCCGCCGCGCAGATCCAGGCACTGGTGCGACGAGGTAAGCGCCGGGCCGCACGTTACGTTCCCGGTTCCTGTGCATCGAAGACGATCCGCTCCCGCGACGACACGCACTTCGAGATAGCGAGGCGTCGAGATGCCGTTGCGCAGCTCTCCAAGGAAAAGCGTATCGTCAAGCAACAGCTTAAGGACTACGACTCTAAGTTCATCAAGAAGCACGGGCGACCGCCGCTAAAGTTTGAGAAGGAGCCCATCCGCGGTCTCTACGAGAAGTACCATGCGATCAAGGCTCGAATCGATAACCTGTGCCCCAGGAGAAGGGCCTGATGGGACTGGGAGTCGGTGATTGTTGACAGGAGAGAGCGCATCCCGGTGTCGGCGGCAAATCTCCGCCCTGCAGCCCAGAGCATTATTTCGGTCCACTGAAATCTGGGACACGGCGGGGCAGGACGCTGGGGCAGGAGCGGTTCCGGTCGCTCAAAACACGCCCGCGTACTACCGCGGCGTGGTCGCGTGCTACGACGCGACGGACGCCGAGAGCTACGTGCATGTGCCCGGATGGTACACGCAGCTCACGATGATGGGGGAGCGCGGGTCCACCGTAGGCCTCTGCGGGAGCAAGCTCGATCTCGCGACTGCCGCTGCGTGCCCTCGGCTGATGCGGTGTCTTTTTGCGGCGGCGCAGGGACTCGCGGTCTTCCGGTAGGCGTAAAACAAACGGGCGAGAGCGCCTGGGAATTCGTCGTCGCGTAAATGCAAGTTTCCCTATGTGCCCTGGAACTTCCAAGAGGCTTCCAAGGGTGGCAAATCCGAAAGCCACTGGCATGTCGATACGAAAAGTCTAGAGTCCATGGCTGAGCGCTGGTTGCCCGAACAACCTAACTTCAGATGTCGATCTCTGTGTACTAGTAATTTGTCCAAGCTGGGCTCTGGGGCTCGAACGAGTCGATTCTCAGCGCTCAGCGTGTTTGTCTTGAGCCTTTGCAGCGAAACAATAAGGTGTGTAAGCTAAGGTAATTAAAGAGGTGCCGCGAGCTCAAGCTGCCCAGAATTTGCAACGCTAAGCCGCGCCCGTTTTGCCCTCGCACCCGAATGCTCGCGATGCGCGATCGCAAGCTCATGCCATGGCTCTGCGTCCTGCTCCTGCCGCTTGAAAGCGTAGGACGTGCGCTGGATGGCAACTTCGCGACTCGTCGGGGCACGCTTGATCGACACGGCCTGGAGCTTCGGCGCAGGTGCGGTCGCGGACTGGCCGCGGTCGTCGACGTGGGCATCGTCGGTGTCGGCATCGACGTAGGCGAAGGACGGGCGCATTTGGTACGTCGTGCGAAGCGGGGCCAGGTACAGCGCGCCACCGTCGAGAGTTCCGACGGCGTAATTTGTCGCGGGCCTCACGCGCGATGATGCGAGCTTCCGCGTGTAGAGCTGCATCCGATCCGGCGCTTCCGCATCATAGTGAGGCCCCGCATCGACTGCGGGCACTCCTAGTTCGAGCATTTGGTTCTTGGGCCGCAGCCGTGCGACCGTGAACGCCTCCTCGCCACGCGCCTTGCTCCGCACAGGATACTGCAACAGCACCAGGCCGGGCCCATCATTTGCGGGCTTGCTGTCTGCGAGGTATACGTCGAGTTCGCGTACGACAAGGTCTTCTTCACCGGACATGCCCCAGAAGGACCCTCCCTGAAGCGCCTTCGAGGAATTGCTCAAGACCGCTCGCCCGAGCCGACGCGCCAGGCGACGCGTGATCTCTGCACCGCAGGAGCCGGCCCCTCCCCCCTTCCCGGCGCCCCGTTACCCTCACGACCAACCTCCGCTGCGACGGCTAGGGGGCGGCCTCCGGCCGCCACCTGGCTCGGCTCGCCAAGGTACCCCACGAACCCCCCTGGATAAGCCCCCCTGTCGCAGCAGAAAACAGGGGTTTACTAGGGGGGGGTTTGCACCGCCTGGCGTCGGCGGCACCCCTGCGTGCGGAGCGGGGTGGTACATCTTACCCGACGTAAATGGCCTACCCCAGCCGCCACACCCACGTCGCGCCCAAAACCAAGGGGCGTATCCAACGCCATCGATTGTGACGCGCTTCGCTGGCACGGACTTGTACGCGGCGGCCGCGGCAGCCCCGCGGAGACGAGGCCCGCGCGGTGGAGTTTGGTCGACGCCAGAACCACCTCCGATGGGGGCACCGACGGTCAGGCTTACGCCTAGGGGTCATGGAAGGCCACTCCGACCACCAGAGCGAGCTGCCGTGCGTCGGAAGCTTGGGCTCAGAGGTCTCCGCTCCCGGCCCGCGCGTACGTGTTTGGTACTCAAGCCAGCGAAACGGCTAGCCATTCGTCCCAATCCGAGCGCTTGTTTTTGTCTGTAAATATTGGTTCCAACATACTCGGCCTAGCGACCAGCCTCTATTACGCGCAGGAATCTGCTGTGAACCACCCGTTCTGGCCGATCGGCAGCTGGAGGGCTGCTCGGCCACGACTTCCCCTCGGTCGAAAATTATGATCGAGCGTCAAAACCACCAGTTTGCTCGATGGCGCGCAGCAGTTGCAACTCTCTCGGACTGATCGCTGTTGAAGTCTTGCGGTCCCATCGGGTGTGATGCTCGGTGGTGTGATGCTCAGGTGTGTGATGCCCACGCGTCCCTAAACCCAACCGCAAAACAAAACGGGCGTTACACTCCAAATCCGCCGCCGACGACTCGTATTGAGTTGTCATCCTCGTGACAGGATCTACTTGCAGAGATCAGCGTCCAATTTCCACAACCATTATTAAATACGAGCTCCTATGACACCGAAACATTGATAACCTCACGCCCAGGCGAAAGCGAATACACGTGGCACCGTCAACCTTCCGTCGCGCACAACTCACCCGCGCGGCATCCGGAAGACCACGCGTGTGCCCACGCGTCCACCGGGGTTCCCCGTCTCCCCCGGAACTAGTAAAATACGCGTCCGGAACTCGGGGAGTGCAGCTCCCCTTGCTTTGCTGACTCTATGCAGAACAAGCTTATGGGTGTTGTTCCATAACTGCGGACTGCGTCGCAGGCCGCGGCTTGGGTCTCCAAGCCTCGGGTGTCGAAGGCCTTGGCTGCTGCTAGGCGCAGCGAGGAGCGCAAGATCCGTCGCGTCGGGCTTGCCCTTGAGGACCGCGGCGCGTGGTCAGCGCGCGCGGCGGCGCGGTCGATGGCGCTTCTTTGTCGCCGAGAACGTCGGCGTGGGGTGCGGTGATGGCGCTGAGGAGCGCGGAGTCGTGGAATGACCGTGCTGTTGCTGGGTGGGCGTGGGCGTTTGGAGGTGGCGGTGCTCGGAATCAGGCCGACCGGCGTCGTCCTGCCAGCGCGGAAGTGCGGCGACCACCGCAGTGTCGAGGCCCGCGGTGAGGAGCTTGATGCGGTCCGCGGCGTCGAGGCCGCGGCGGCGGCGGCTCCGTCGGACAGCGTCGTGTAGCGGCCCAGGATCGCCGACAGCGAGGAGGGCCGCGAGCGCGCGGCCCGCGGCCTCCTCCGTCGCCGGTCCGGGGCCATCGAGGACCGTCGAGAGGAGCGCCACGTGCGCTGTGGGCGCGGCGGCCGCGAGCGCGGCCGCGTCGGCATCGGCGAGGTCCGCCAGGAGCTCAGCGGCAGCGGCGGGGACGGCTTCGCCAAGAGATCCGTCGCTGCGAGGTGTGTGGTTGCCGCGAGGCCGCCGCGCGTCGTCGGTCGACTCGCCGGCGTCGATTAATTGCAAGAGCGCATTCGGCACGCCGGCGGCAACGAGGTCGCGTGCGGCGGCATGGCGGAGGGTGACGTCGTCGCCGTCGTCGCGGCAACACCGCCGAGCGAGGGCCGCGATAACTGGCACAACGACGCCTCGTACGCCGCAGCGGAGCGCGTCGACGGCGGGACCGAAGCGCCCCGCGTCCGCAGCGGCGCACGCGCCGTTAGCGGCGAGGCCCGCGAGCTCGCAGGCGGTCATCGTGAGGTCCTCAGCTTCGTGCAGATCGATGGCGTGCGCCGCGCGCTCGAGCTGAAGCGCGTCGTTGAGGCCACGCGCGCTCCGCCAGGACTGCTCGAGCGCGTCCGCGAGGCGGCGCGTTTCCCGCGCGAGGCGCCGCAGCCGCGGCCCCCGCGTCGCGGTGGCGCCCCGTACCGCCGCCTGGACCACAACAGCCGCCCGCGCTCGCGTGGCGCCGCGGCGCACGGCGCGCGCGACGCGGCCTGCAGCGCGGTCGCGGCGGGCGGCCGCGGCCGCGCGTGTCTCCCGTGCGGCGGCGCAGCCGCGCGCGCGTGCCTGGACTAGGACGACGGCGGCGACGAGGGCGCGCTCCCGCCGGACCGCCGCCGAAGCCCGCTTTGCCAACGCCGCGCGCCGCCACGCGGCCTGAACCCGCGTCGCCTCAGCGTTCGACGTCTTGCGCGCGAGCTCGTACTTGGCGGCGCGGAGGCGCCGGATCTCCGCCTCGTGGGCGTGGCTGATCATGGCCTGTTTGCTGAGCTGCGCCTTGAGCCGCCGGAGCTCGCCCTGGAGCTCCGTCACCTCGGGCGTGGCCTCGAGCTGCGACGACTCGCTGGGCTCCGAGACCTTGTGGTAGAGGTCCTCACGCGACATTGTCGACACCACGGACGCCTCCTCTGCCTTGGGCCACAGGACGTCCTCCTCGGAGAGGATCTCCTCAGATAGGAGCAGGGTACTCTCTTTGCGCTCTTCGGCCCCGAGGGAGCGCAGGTCCTCGAACGTCGGAGGCCTTGCCTCGCTCGCGCCCCCGGCTGAGGCGGCGGCAGCTGAGCCGCCGCCGCCGCCGTCGCGCCGGGGTCCGCGGAGCGCGCCCACCTCCTCTTCGGCGCCCTCGGAGAAGTTTTCGAAGTCCTCTACCTCCGGAGTCCCGAGCACGGCCAACTCGAAGCTTGGCGGCGGGCGTGCGAATCGGCGTGGCGACGCCGACAGTGGCGACAGCGGCGCGTCCTCCACCGCGCACGGAGCGGGGATACACACCACCGGTGCGAGCTCGCGGTCCAGCCCGCCAAACCCCGAAGTGATGTCGACCTCCGCCCTGCCGCCCCCGAAGACATCGGGGGGAACGAGCCGGTGCGCCGCCTTGCGAAGCTCCTCGGCGAGGAAGGACTCGTCCCCGCAGCCTCCACGCTGCGCCGAACTCCGACGGCGAGCCTTAGCTTTCTTGACGCATGCTCGCCAGAGCTTATTCGCCTCCATTACCCAGAAAGAGTCGCCGTGATGCAGGTGGCAGCTCTCCGCGAACAGATAGATGGCGCATCCGCCCGCCTCCCCGACGAGGGCATCGTCCTTGCTACCCGCAAATTCGTTCGCGAGTGCCACGTACTTGTCGATCGTCAACATATCCCCAAAATCCAGCGCCATCGCCGGCGTGTGCGTCGGGGCGCCAAACTGCAGCCTGGCCGCTGATCACCGGCTCGGGACCACACGAGCGGTCCGCTGGGCTGAAGATACTTGAGAAATCTTCCGCGCGCGAAGTAGTTCTAGTAAATTCAGATAATGTTGGATATGGGGCAGCTAATTATCTCGCACCCACTACGCCCATCCTGCTACTACGGACTGTGCCTTAACGTCAGGTTGATGTACGGGGCTTAGATTCTTTACATAGAGGACATGGATGAGTTTCAGAAGCTAGCTAATGCGGATGAAGATACTGAACATAGCTGGAGGGCACTATCTCGGCGCCATGATCAATGCGAAGCCAGGCCGGGGAGCTGGATGATGATGTGCACGCCGAGGCGTGCATCAGGGTCCAGCGATCAACCGCCGCTCGCGAGCGGCGGATATGCTGCGGGCGGCGCGCCCGCGCGCAGGCCCTGCAGCTCCGTAGCTGCGCACAGCTAGCAGGTGTAGCGCGGTGGCTCACAGCGCGCAAGACATTTTTTTTTGGTGCTCTCTGGTTCAGCCCCGTGGCTCGTTGAGGGCCGTCTGCGACGAAGATCAGCCCGGTCGACCCCCGGGGGGCTGCCTCTGGTTATGGACGTTTCGTACATCTGGTTTCAACCCGCGCGCCCCGATAGTAGTTACGAGTGTGGTGACGCATTGCGCCCGCGGGTCTACGCGGCTCCCGGGTCCGTGAGGCGACAGGAGCTGGTCCGACGGCTCACTTCGTTGCGATCATGTGCGTCCGGGGGTCGCATCGGTGAGGCTTCCGTGAATGGGGGTGAGGATCTCCAGAACGTCTTAGACATCGCCGAAGATGCGCGTAAAGTGCCAGATCGTGTGATAAGCGTAAATGCGCGCCTCGAGGAGCGACTGAGCAACGCCGGGGCGGAGTCGGCAGAGCAGCAGCTACTCGGTGACCGTCTGCGGACCGACTGGGACCTGTTACGCCGGACATGCGAGCGGGCATACCGGGACCGAGATGACATGCGCGTGATGCGCGATCGGGCCCAGGCGGAGATCGAGGACGCGCGGCGCGAGGCTGATGCCTCGAAAGAGGCGCTCGGCCTCGTCCGACGGGACCTTGAAGCGCTCCGTGCGGAGCGCATGGGCGCACCGGCGCCGCTTCTCGCCGCGGACGCATGCCTCGACGAGGCTGCCGTGAGGCGCATCGCAGCGCTCCATCGGGACATGGACGACCTCGCGCGAGAGCGTGATGCCGCGGTTGCAGCTTCTGCCGGTCATCGCCGGAGAATGGAGCGCATGGCGCAACAGCTCGCCATGCCAGGGGGGCTCGAAGCTTTCGAAGCCCTCGCAGCCGTGCGACAGGAGCGCGATGACCTTAAGGATGAGCTCAACATGCGGAAATCACTCTCGTTCAAGGCATCGTCCTCGCCCTCGGCGTCTTCTGGCCGAGTTGGCAGCACAGGCTGCGTCTTCCACACGACCGGGCTACTACGACATCGTGCCAGCCTCTCAGTACCAGCTCAGACTCATCGGGGATGACAATGCCACCCGGGTTCCACTCGAGAGTGTGCTGTTGGGTACAAGCCCAGAACCGGCGGGGTGTCTGAAACGCAGCGACTCATCCTAAAGCACTTGCACCCTACGAGTAGTCTTAGGCCGCCTAGCGCGCTTGCCTGAGCTTGCCAGTGCGAGCGGAGCGGCCGGAAGCTCTCCCGAGGGGTAGGCAGCTAGCAGCCGGTGCGTTTAGAGCGGAGCGCCACGGGCCGCTTGGAAAACGCCGCGCCCGCCGTCGCCCGTGTAGGCTGCTGAAGCAGTTTTTTGCTCGGGTTCAGTAGAATATGCACCTCAAGGCCCGTTAGCATGCTGCAGTTGCTCGATTCAAACTTGCCGGCGGCCGTTGCCCTCGCGGCGTGCGCCGAGCCGACGCCAAAAATCCATTAGGATGCTGTTTCCAGCTTGACTACGGTGCATCATCGTGGTTGGAATGTTGCGAACGCGTCGGGTTGTAAACCTTTTGGGTGAGTTTCTCGCAAGATAACGTCCGCGGAAAAAAATTCACTCCGCACCTCCCGACCCGCGAAAGAGTGAATCCGGCGTTGCGGCGGGTCGGAATTTTTTTTTCCCGCGGACTTTTTTTCGCTGGTCTCGCGTTCGCAACGGTCCGAACACGATGATTCACTGTAGTCCGCCTGGAAATAGCATCCTAATGGATTTTTGAGCCGACGCCGGCATGGTACTCACCGGCGCACATGGGCCTGCCCATCAGTCCCTGGCGCTCAAGTCCAAGTTTGAGCCGGGGGATTTGTTTACTTCATGTCATTCATTCCACCTCGACGGGTCGGAGCGTAGCGTTCTTTTACCATAACTCACAAGCCAACTGCTATCTCTACGGTCATGACAGCGATTTCGATGGAGATAAGGATGATGATGATCCACTCAAGGGTGTTGGACTTGTCCGTGGCGAGAACCTCGAGGAAGAACTTGGAGTTTTGCTGGATGAGATTGAGCTTGAACTCAATCTTCTGGAAGCGATCCTCGATCTCGAACTCGTCGCGGAGGCCCTCCCAGACATCGGCGTACTCGAGGTGCTCCCAGGCCGTGTCGGAGCGCTCGAGAATGCCAATCTTTGCGATGACGTCGGTGAATAGCGTGTTGTTGAGTGCAACGAGACGGAAGAGGCTCTGCTTCTCGATGACGGAAAAAACGCCGGTGCGCTCGACGGAGGAATTGAGCCGCGTGAATGCCTCGAGCATGGCGTCGGCCTTGACGCCGTAGTGGTCGAGGGCGACAGACTGGGCGAGGACGGTGGCGATGACCGCGAGATTGTGGACGTCGAGCTGCGGGAGCACTGCGTAGTCAAAGCGGACGGCAGGCCTCCGAACCGCGGCGGTCGTCGCGACGGCGGCGCGGCCGCGGCGGCGGCCGGCGGCGACGGGTCTGGGCGCAACCGCGCGGCCGCACCGCCTCCGCGCCGCGCCGTTCCCGCCGCGCGCGCCACCTCCTCCGCGCGCGCCGCGACGAGCGCGTGCTACGCCCCTGAGTGACCCAGGCGGTGGCCGGACGACGACGCTGTAGTCCTCAACAGGCTGGAACCCTTCGGGAATCGCCTCGGTGCAGAATGGCCGGAAGGATTCGAGGCACCGATTCCGCAGCGTGTCGCCGACATTGAAGAAGACCGCGGCACCGTAGCTGAAGACAACGACGTGGCCCTGGCGGCCGCGCGGCCGCGCAGTTTCTATGCTCGGTCGTACTGCGGTGCTGACGGGGTCGAGCGCGTCGGACCGCACCGACGCGTCGTCGTCGTCGTCGTCGTGGATCGTCAACATCACGCTGTCCCGGCCGAAGACCTGGCGCTGCAGGATCGTCGAAACGGCGCGGTCATGGAACAGCGTCACGTCGATGCTCTTCGCCAAGTATCGCGCGTGCACTGGCAGCGCCACCTCGGTGCGTTTGATTCGCGAGAACCGGCCCGCGCGCGTGGTCGGCAACCCCTGGAACACAGTCTCCAAGCGCCCCCTCGAGGCGAAGGCGCGTCTCGCCATGCCCTGCGGAGAGCTACTAGCATGCACCACGATAACTAGGGTTCAACGTAACTTCAACCACCGGCGTCACAGCGCTCGTTTTGCGCGGGGTTTTGCCTGGGACTTGCCAGTCGTCCTATGGGGAGTTGCCCAAAATAGAAGCGGCGTGCATTGGACACGATCCGGCGACCACAGAGTCCTACCAGTATGCTGCTTCGGATAGTAGCGCGTGTGAATTAGAAAGGTTGTGGCATGTTCGCGGGGGGTGCGATCATTTCTGGGGCGAGATAATTGGACAAGAAAACTTGATCGACTTAGCTTGAAGTTGGCAGTGCACTTGGCTCGTATCTGCAGGATGCCCCCGTTCTAACTGCAGCGAGCGAGGCCTGCGGTGAAATGCGTGTCTGATTTTAGTGACGTAGCTCCTTTTTTCGGTCTTTCTCAGTCATCGGGTCGCCGCCTTCGCGCCAGGCGGGCTTCGCGTTCAAGAACGCCAGGCACCAGACCGCTAAGGTGGGCGCGGAGAGTGGCGCACCGACGACGACGCCGACAATCTGAAAGAATTCCAGCCTCTCCAAGGCCCGAAGGACGCGAGTCTCAGCAAGCGCTCGACAACCACCCCCCCAACCCGAGCTGTTTGGTACGCCATATTGGGGGTCGCGGCTCAGCAACGAACACACTACCGTCAGCACGCCGTTCATGGCTGACAGCGGCGTCTCCAGTAGAGCCAGATCATCAGGAAATCTCCCTATAGCGTGGACATACTTGCACCGCGCCAAGCGTTGAAAAACGCCCGCATCATGGAATTTATGCAACCTGACGCAATGGATGTGGCTGACATCACCCCGTGTGTCCCGCAGTCCCTGGCTCACCATTGTTACATCCAAGAGGTCTTCGAACTCTAGATGATCGTAAACGATGGCCCGAACATCACCCGTGAGACGCGACAACACGGTGCGAATTCCAGAAGCAGCCGCCTTATATAAGCTCGTCGACAGGATGCGCCCCTGTTCAGCCATATGAAGAGTGGACTCGCATGGGGGTAACGAATTAAGTTTTATTCTATCATCCTTGTATTCATCCTTGTTCCTTGTATCATCTTTATTGTACCCCGATATGGAGGGCTGGCTGATTAAGGCACGCAAGAATTCGAGCTCGTCGGCATTGTTCAGCACGCGACGGTGGTTTAGCTTGGACCTGGGGAACGGCATCTTGGTGTGGCGCGAGAGCCAACACGGCCGAGCGCTCGGGAGCGAGGATCTCGGGGGCGCGTGCGTCGAGCATCCGACGCCGTTTGCGTTCGAGGTCATCTTCGCGAGCGGACGCCGCGACGAGCTGCGGGCTGAATCGAGCGCAGTCGCAGCGAACTGGGTGGCCGCGGTGCGGAGCGCCGCGCGACACGCGGCGTCGCCGTTGCCGCTCGGCGGGGCGGTCAGTGGCGCGGTACCGCCGCCACGTACCAAGAGGACGTCATTTCTCGAAAGCGTGTTGCACGGCAGTGGATCCGTCATGTCGGTAGCCGCCCGGGACCCTGAGTTGACGTCGTCGCACCGCGCGTCGACACGAGGGTCGCTGAGCGGCCCGCGGCCGCGACCGCCGACCGACGGGCTTGCTGCGCGGGATGGGCCTGGCGCCAGCGGCGACGGGCCAGCCAGATCCGGAGGCTGCTTCCCGGTACTCAAGACGAACCGCTGGGGGAAGGAGCAGCGTCGCCTCGTCGAGGTCATCGGTGGGCTCGTTCTCCGAAACACGGATCGGTCCGGGCGCGTCAAGCGGGAGATGCCGCTAAGCCAGGTGGGCGCGGTCGAGCGGTCTCTCGGCGAACCGAGGCAGATTACACTCCGCTGGGTCGACCACGATGCGCGCGCATCCGGCGTCAGTGGGGGCGCGGCGAGACGCGCGGGGCGCAGGTACACGCTCCTCTTCGAGTCAACGGAAGACGCGGACCGGTTCGACGAGCTGCTCCGGAGCGCAGCGAGCGCTTCGCACCTCGGACGTCTCGGCGGTGGTGACGGCGCGCACGCGACCGCGCTCTGGCGCCGGCGGACGCGGCGCGGCGCACGGGACCCGGACTGGCGAGAGTGGACTTCGGGGGGCGGCGCTCGCGGTGGCAGCCTCGAATTGCGCGTCCGCGTTTGCACGTGGAACGTTGGAAATAAGCAGCCGTCTCGTGCCGCGTCTCGCGACCTACATCGAGCCTCCTAACGTGCCCCGAAACCGCAGCTCGTCGGACCTGAGCGCCTGGCTACACCGTGAGAGCGACGGTAGCTATGCGCCGCGGCGCACCGTCGACGACGGCACACTCGGCGATGCGACGCCCGGGCGGATTGGGATCGCCGAGGCGCCGGCGACGTTGGTGTCGCAGCACGACGCCGCGACGCCGCGTGCGGGAATCCCCCCCCCCCCCGTCGCTGCGGTTCGCCGGACCGACGGGCGAGAAGGTGAGCCGCTCGCGGATGTCGTCGCCGTCGGGTGCCAGGAATGCTCCTACAAAGTCGACCGGACAAAGGCCTCGGGTGGCGGGAAGAACGACCGCGAGGACTGGGTGCGGACCGTAAGCGCGCGCGACACGGCGTCACCGCGCGGGCCGGCCCGGAGCGTCGAGCGGCCACTCGTGCTCGCGCTATAGCTGCGACAACACTTCCTCGCACCCGCGCTCGCCTATTGCCCGGCTCGAATGCGCGCGCGTGTCGCAGGCACTTCATCGGCATCGGCTACGTCCTGCACTGCGAGGAGCACTTTTGGCAGATGCGGCTCCTCGTCTTCGTCCGCGGCGAACACGCGCCCTACGCTTCCGCGCCAGACGTCGCCCACAAGGGCTGCGGTATCGGCGACACGCTCGGTAACAAGGGCGCGATCGGCGCCGCGTTCCGCGTCCACGGCACCACGCTCTGCTTCGTGTGCTGTCACCTCGAGGCCTTTCAAGGCGAGGTCTTCGGTCGGAACAGTGACTTCTCCCAGGTCGTGAGCCACCACCGCGCCCCGTCCCGGGAGATCCCCCTGGTTGCGCCGGAACTGCCGCGCGTCGCCAGGTTGACTCCCTCCGCCTCGGGCGCAAGGACCTCGATGCGCTGCATCAGTTCGACCACGTCTTCTGGTTTGGTGACCTGAACTACCGCGTCGACCTTCCGCAGAGCCAGGCCCTGGACCTCCTCGACGGCCTTGGCGCATGCGACGCGCGAGAGCGGGCCGCACGACTCGCGGCGCTCCGCGGCGCGGACCAGCTCGACGTCGAGCGCAGCGCAGGCCGCGCCTTCGCTGGCTTCGAAGAGGCCGCTGCCTTCAACTTCCCCCCAACGTACCGCTACATGAGGAAGGACGGCGCGCGTGACGCGATGACCGGCGCGCGGCTCTATGACCGTCTCCCTAGGCCGCGTCCGCCCACCCCGAGGCCCGCAGCATCCTTTTGCCCGTCGCAGGCGGCAAGGGCCGGGTACCCTCGTGGTGCGACCGCGTGCTCTGGAAATCCCTCCCGGGGAGCCCGCCGGCGAAGCTCGTCTACCTCTCCGCCATCGACGATGCGCCGCACCTCGACAGCAGCGACCACGCGCCTCTCATCGCCGCCTTCAAAGTCTTGTGCGCATCTCCACCGACGGGCGCCTCCCCGGCCGACGACAGCGACGCCGCCATTGCCGCAGACTCGAGGTCCGTCCGCGGGACCTACCCCCACCGCGCCTATGCTGTTCCCATGGCGACGGCGCACGACTCGCAGGCGCGGCGTGGCGACGTTCTCCTTCGCTCAGACGCTCGTCGCTACCGGCGGCGCGGCGCTCCATCCGTTTCACTTTCGCAAGCCGACGCGCCTGGCGCTCCGCGTGTCATCGCCAGCGTTGAAACCAGCCACGGCACCGTGGCCTTCACGGTCCATTGTGACCATCGGCGAAGGGAAGTGCCCGCACCTGCTGAACTTCTCGAAGGTTTCCGGGGGGGGGGAGAGAGAGGACGAGGTTCCGTGGCCTTCGCGCTTCCTTTGACTGTCGGCGAAGCTTGGACCGCTGTCGGCTTTCGCCGGCATTGCGCCATTCCGAGGTCCGACCTCCGTTGGTCTGAACGCCGGGTTTTATCGACACCGGGGAGAGAGAGAGAGAGACAGCCGAGTCCCCGGTCCAGACGTCACCGAACTTGAAAAATCTTCTGCCGCGGTCAAATTGCTCGGGTTGGCTGATTTAAGTTCGACACAGGTCATCACAGGTCCACGGGCCAGTGGAGACCGACTTCACCCAATCTGCGGCATGCTTCCAGCCTCGCTGGCCCCCGGAGAGCTGCCCTGTGCTCACTTCCCCCCCCAGCACATCGGTTGCCAAGCTTCGGCGCACGACGCTCATCCTCGAGCTCCTCGACCGCCGCGACGACGTTAAGCACGAACCGGTCATCCTCGGAGCCGCGCTCCTCCCGCTCAAGGACGCATGCGACGCCCGCGGTGCCCCCGCCCCCTTCCTCGTCGTCTTTTCTCAGAAGGGTTCCTCCGTCGGTGAGCTCTCTGGTGCCCTGCGAGCAAACGGTCTCGAAGAAGAGGGCAACGACTGTGGGGTTCACATCGACGAGGATGACGATGACGATGACGATGACGAGCATGAGAACGAGGAAGGTCGCAAAATCAATGCCGCTCTCGCACCCCCACGAGTGCAATACCCCGCACCGCCGATTTACGAGCCACCTCCGAGCCCGGCTACGCCGGGGCCGCCCCCCATGCCCCCCCCCCCTCCGCCGTGATCGTCCGCGCGGCCCGAGGCTGTATGATAGTCGTGCAATATTACAGCAACTCGCTGTTTTGCTAACATATCCCGCCGGCGGGATATGTTAAACGCCGCTTCAACTTGACTTCAACCTCAAACCTTGCACTTCAACAGGGACCTCAACACCGCCGCTTGCCCTTCAAAAGGGACCTCAACACCGCCGCTCACGCCTCGCCGAGGACCTCTGACGCGCCGCCCACGCCCTAGGGCGCGCGACCCGCCCCATGCCACGTGCCAGGAGCCCTCCAGAAGCCCTCCAGAACCCTCAGGCTTCCGCGGACCCGAAATACCCCAAACCCCTTACGATTTTGCGATTTTAATTTCCCCCACTGCTTCGCCCTAGTAAACTGCCCTTCAAGCCCCCTTAAGGGCAAACTGCAACGCCGCCCCAAACCACGTGCCAGAAGCCCCCCAGAAGCTATCTAGAACCCTTCCGCGGAGCCTCTTCACACTGGCCAAAGCGATCCCCTGGGCCCGCAACTCAGGACAGCCACATGCTGCGCTGACAAATGCCAACGATAAACTAGCCACCTAGCTACGGCGCAACGGGCGCGAAACCGAGCCTGTTTCGAAAGAAGAAGAGGAGCGAGTCGTGCCGGACGCGGAATTCCACGGAGAAAAGGAAACTTTTTGGCTCGTAGCGCACGTTGAGGTGCACGCGGAGGTCGGGCGCGAAGCCGCCGGGGTCTCCCGTGTCACATGTTTTGGAGGACTTGGGTGGGAAGGCTGATGTCGGTTGACGATGAAGATTGGGCCTCCGTGATGCGACGAGCGAAGACTCGTCACCGGCCGCGACTAAAGGACTGGTCGCGGGATGGATTTGCAACAACTCGCTCGAGCGAGTTTGAGTCGCTGGCTGCCGGTCGTTGCGAGGGCGAGGGCGCTGAGCGCGTTTGCCGTTTGGACTACGGCGTGCTCTGTGCGGCGGCGTTTGCGCGGAACTACGAGCTGACGAGCACACCGGTGATCGTGCGGGACGTGCCCGCGCGCGAGGGTTGGAGCGCGGCGGGGTGGAGCTACGACGGGTTCTTCGGCGACTCCGCTTTCCGCGGGCTCCGCATGAAGTGCGGTGAGGACGATGATGGGCGAACGATCCGTGTCACGCTCAAGGACTTCGCGACGTACGCGGCGCAGGACTGCATGGGTGACGACAGCCCGCTCTACGTCTTCGATGGTGGCTTCGGCGACCGCGCGGGCCGCGAGGCCGTCGTCGGCGCGTTCCGCGCGCCGACGTTCTGCGGGCGGGACGACCTCTTCGAACTCGTCGGCGAGCGGCGGCGGCCGCCGCACCGCTGGCTCCTGGTCGGGCCCCGGCGGAGCGGCACGTGCGCGCACGTCGATCCCCTTGGGACGTCAGCGTGGAATACGCTGCTCACTGGGCGGAAGCGCTGGGTCCTCTTCGAACCGGGCACCTCGCGGCACGTCGCCAAAGGAAGCCGGCTCTACGACCCGCGCGTCGAGGACGACGAGGCCATCAACTACTTCGTCGACATCCTGCCGAGGATCCGCGCCGCGTACCCGGAGGCACGCCGCATCGAGTGCATCCAGGAGCCTGGAGAGACCATTTTTGTGCCCGGCGGCTGGTGGCACGCCGTGATCAATCTGGAGGACACCATCGGCGTCACGCAGAATTTCGCGAGCCGGGGCAACTTCGACGACGTCTGGGACAGGGCCCGCGTCGGGCGCAGGTCCATGGCCCGCACGTGGCTCGCGGCGCTCGAGGCCCACGGCGACCCTGAGATCCGTCGGCTCGCTGGTCGCGCTGCGATGCACAGACCCCCGTTCCCGAGCAAGTCCCGGAAACGTAAACTCCACTGAACTTCGGCCAACAGCAGGCAGCGCGCCCCGCCGGCTAGGTCCCAAATTACGCACGGCGTTTTTTACGTGAGCCGTCGCCATTGCGCTTTTTGCGCGTCTTTAGCGCGTTTTTTTACGCGGACAGGTTGTTTTGCCCCCCGCCGGGGCTCCGAGATGCAAGCGGCGCCGCCGGCGTCGATTTAGACTATAGTGATCATCAATGATTGCAGCCCGCCAGCCGGATAACCGGCCGAACGGCTCCGGGAGAGCTTCGCCGGTTACCTGACACCTCGGCTCCAGACTGCGTGGTCGCCTCGACCTCCAACCTGACCGCGTGCGCCGACGGACGACCACGGGCGGCCGTCAGAGCCCCACGTCATGAGCCGCTGCGCCGCGACTGACTGGAGGACTCAGACGCAAGCTTACAAAACCCCGGCGTCATCTGGCATGTCCCGCAGGCCGTATACCCACCCCCGGGACAGGCCCGGCCTTGTCAAGTCAAGGACGCTTCGAATAAAGCAGGGAAGGCCCGTTCTTCGGGTTTGTGTGGAGGAATATACGTAGCCAAGGCGTCAGCGCGCGATATGCGACCCTTGGTGCCTCTCCAAGTCGTCGTCGCCACCGCCATCCAGGGTGGCGGGCTCGTAGCCGAATTTGGCCGCGGGCGACTCGCGGCCCAAGGGCTCCCGCTTGGACGTGGTGCGAGGCCATGTCGCGGCCGCGACCGCAGACGGGCCGACGCGGCGTAACTTGAGCCGGGCCTTCGTCAGGGGCGAATGTACGAGCTCAAGGCCGACCTGGACGGGCCGCGTATCAGCGCCGTACTGCGTCCGGCCGATGCAAAGCGGGGGCTCATCGCTTGCGGACCATCGCGGGATGCGGCTCCGCTGGAGTGTCTGGACCGATCTGAGCGCGATCGAGTCACACCGTGCGAGCCCGTCGGAATTCGCCGTTCGGATCTTGCACCGAGGCGAAGGGATGCTTCTCAGCATCGCCGGCTTGCCTATCCAGGAGCTATCATGGTGGGTCGGGAGCGAATTCGGGTCAGGCTGAACCTCGGGCGCGTCCGCCTTGCGCCCAGAATGCAACTCGATCGCGCGCGGCAGGACCCAGGGCGCGCCAGCTCCCCTGGGGCTGTGGATCGCGTGTTCGAGCGGCCACCAGCTCTTTCTCGCTCGGAATTCGAGCCCGCCGAGGACCTGGGACGGCCGCTGCGCGCCTACCACGGTAGCCGTCGCGCCGGCGCCCTCGGGCACGAGGACCTGGGAGTGCTGCGAGAAGGCCATGAGCCGCGTCATACGGGGCCCATGGCGACGCATGAAGGAAACAAATTCTTTGACGGTGACATCGCCGCTCCGGTCCGCGTCGATCGCCTTCCAGAGGCCCCGGATGCGGTTCGTCGAGATCGCGGCCGGCTTCATGCCTAGGCCCGGGTAGTCCGCGCGGATGACCTCCTCAAGCTCCTCGTAGCCGAGCAGGCCGGAACCAGTAATATCAAAAAGCGCAAAGACCTTGTACCAGTTACCCGGGGCCTCCTTCACCGTGCCTCCGGTCGTGTCATGGAATTTCTTCCGCGTGTGCCGCGTCTCGACAGCCTCTTCGAGCTGCGCGACGACGCCCTGGAGCTCGCCGGCGTGCTCCTCCGTGAGCAGATCCTCCCAGTCGTCCAGCATCAGAAGGTATGTCGCCTGCTGGAATTCTTTTATAGTAGACTCGCCGGAACCGTTGTAGTCGATGTAGTCCCACAGAGCGGTCAAAGCATCGAAGTCGAGCGCGTCCCGCACGAGAAGCTTCGCCGCGAGCCGGAACTCCTTGAAGCTGAGACGCCCACTCTGATCCTCGTCTATGGACTCGAAGAGCCGCTGCCAGTTGCCGCGCATCGTGGACCGCGTGCCTTCGGACCCGCAGACCGACGCAAAGGCCTCGTGTAGCACGAGCACGATCTCCCGCAGCTCCTCCACAGGCCTCACGAGCCGCTCTGGTTTCCGTGGCATAGACTGTTCCTCTTCGATCTTCCGAATGTTGGCTGTGTTTGACTTCTCGAGAGCCGTATAGACTTTAGCAACAGAGCCCTGCTCGCCAAGAGGCCCGAGAGTGGCGAGGGCCGCGGCGAAGAAGCCGAGGGAAAAGATGAGGCTAAGAGCGACGGTCAGGAAAATGAACACGGCGAACTTGAAGAAGAATATGATCTGTGCGCCAAACATTGGACACGACGCGCCGAGCGTCGAGATGGCGCCCGAGAGGATAGAGGCGCCGGTGTCGGCGAGGGCGGCCTTGACTTTGGCTTCGCGCGAGTCATGTTCAGAGCTCAGGTAGGAGTCCGCGAGGTGGACGGTGTAGTCGACGGAGAAGCCAATGACGACGACAATGAGGATCGACTCGAGCGTGCCCAGGCCCCAGCCAACGACGTGCATGAAGCCGAGAACGATGGTCGTGATCATGCCGATGGTCGTCGTCGCAATGATGGCCATGAGGTAGTTGCCTGTCGCACAAGTTAAAACGAGGCAGGCGAGCGCGAGTGACGTGAGCATGTTCGAGACTCCGTTGGGAACGAGCTGGGCGCTCACGCTCCAAATCTCCGCACCGGGCAGATAGACCATACCTGCCATGGAGTAGCGGCCGTTGAGGGAATCCATCCAATCGTCCCACTTCTTCGCCATCTTCAGGCCCGCGACGTAGTCGCTCTCGCTCGCACGGAGCGTCGTCTGCACCGCGATGTCGTAGAACGCAAGTCGGAGATATGCGCCGCGCGAGTCGCCGAGCGCGAAGATGTAGGCTTTCCACCAGCTGCTGTCAGCGGGGTGGGACCCAACCAATGCAGCGATCTCATAGGCGACCTGATCTTCGCTCCGGCTGCACTTGAAGAGCGTCGCATCGGCCACCGACTTCGTCTCATTGAGGCAGACCCTCGTGGGGATGGGCCAGAAGCCGGAGCACGTACAACCGTCCACGAGGGGCGACGTGGCGTCGAGTGTGAGTTCACTCACCACGATGCCCGTCTTCTTATCGACGCCCGTCGTTTTATCGATGTCGAACAGGTCCGGCGAGATCATGAACGTCGAGAAGCACGGCACGCACGTCCTCCCGGGCACATGCTCGGTCGCGTAGCGAGAAGCATTGGGATCGATCCGCGCGGACATGTTCTCCCAACTCGCCATGGAGTGGAAGAGAGACTGAACGCCGTAGGCTTTCTGGAACGCGGACGAGACGCCGCCGTCAGCTGTGTCCATGAAGGAGCCCATGCGCGAGCCCTCGATCTGCGTGTTGATGCCATGGGTACGGTCGACCTTGAGGCCATCGGGCGGAGTGTGGGCCAGCATGTCGGCGATAGAGTAGAGCTGGATTTGGGCCTCAACACCGTCAAGGTCAAAGCCCGTGTCCCAGTTGACCAATCCGCTCTCGCCGGCAACAAAGCGCTCTGGCCGGAGGTCGTTGGTTCCGAGCGGGTTTTTGTGGTCGAAACCGAAGAGGATATGCGCCGTGAGCGGCTTTGCGCTTGGCGGGAACCAGAAGTTGTTCACGTAGGTCACCTGGTGGAAGTTTGTGTCCGCGGGCAGGAGCTCGTATAGCTGGAAGGGCACGGCTTCGATCATGCACGCGAAGATCAGGAAGAGAAACCACCATGACCCAAGAGCCCCAAGTACGGCGAAGCGATACTTGCACAAGAATGGCGCATAGACATTGCAGAACCAAACAGGCAGGCCACCGCCGCCCTCTGCGACGGAGCCGCCGTCGGGTGCGACCTTTTTCTTTGTCGAACAGACGGTGTCAACGAGGGCCTGCCACGGACTTGGAAGGTGCTTGACGTGGTGCTCGTAGAAGAGCACGACACAGGGGAAATAGGACACGACGGCGCAAAAGTTGACAAGGACGAGGAGCGCTGCGAAGACGCCAAAGGTCGCGATGCCCGGAAACGGAGACGCCAGATTCGTGATGAACGAGATGACCGTCGTCGCCGAGGTCACGAGCATGGCGCCGGCGGCGTGGTAGTAGACATGGCGCAAGCGGTGCGCGTCGGTCTTGTAGATCCCGTGCCCCCCCCCGGCCGCCGACGCCTGCCAGACGTCCCAGTAGACAAAGATATCATCCGCGCCGATGCCCATGATGATGAACAGGCTGAGCGCACAGAATATCGTGAAGTAGCGGTAGCCGAAGCCAAAGGCCGTGGGCCAGAAGTAGCGATAGAGCAGGTTCGCGCCAAAGAAGGAGCAGAAGATCTGGAACATGCCTGCAGTCATGACGAAGGCCGAGCCCAGGTAGAACCACATGTAACAGCACACGATGACGATGGACATCATGATGAGGTTCAGGTCCACCTGGACCTGGTCCATGAGTGGGTTGTAGAGTGCATAAAAGTAGAGCGTCGGGAACCTTTTATCCTGCTGGTCTTCGAAGAAGTCCTCCTCGAACTCCTCGACGATCCAATGATTGAGGTGCGTTCGCTCGTCTTCGCGGTAATTTTGGGTGTAGTACTCGATGGGCAGGCCCAATTCCTCGATGAGATAGGCCACTTCGGGTTGGGTGTAGTGCGAGACGTCGTGGCGTGGCGTCCCGGCGTAGATCGCCGTCTGCAGGATCTTCGAATTTAGATTCTGCGATGTGAAGTCCTTGTGCAGCATGTCCTTGAAGCTCGTCCAGTCCGCAGTGCCTGCGGCCTCGATCTTGGCCACGGTGCCCACGATGTCGACAAAGTTCGGGTCGCCGTATTTCTCGAAGAAGAAGACCGGCGAGAAGGGCCGTTGGCATCCGTTGCCGTCGCTGATCTTGTATTCGGTGCCGGAACCGTCGGCCGTCTTCATCGTCGCGGTTTTGTTGAGGTCACAGGTCGGGTATGCGGTCGCGTAGCTGAGTTTACAGCGCTCGCCCCAGCCCGCATGGCTCGTGATGCGCTCTTCACGCTTCCGCAGCTCACTGAGGCCCTCGGTCGTGAGCGCGTTGCCGCCCTCGTCGTCGAAGGAGCCCTTCATCAGGATCAGAATGATGGGGTCCGCGGCGATGCTCCGCGGGCACCTGGCGGTGACGAGGTCGAAGCTCGCCTCTAATGCTCCTTTCGCATAGGCGTTCGCGCGACGCTGATACCTGTCTTCGATGAGCGTCAGACCCACCTCGCCCAGCTTGTCGGTGCTCATGGGTTGCAAACCCAGGCCGCCGAGAACGAGCGTGACGATGATGAATAACGCGTTCACGCCGCAGAGGCCGCAGCAGGAGCCGATGCGATGCGTTGTCGCGAACCAGAACATCCCGCCCACTGTCTCGTCGTCCTCGGTGGCTCGCTCGATGGATCGGTAGGAGGAATCAGGTGTCACGGCCGCCTCAGCGCCCGTCGACCGAGGCGCCTCTATTTCTTCCTCTGCCATCTCAAAACTCGCTGCCATCTTGGGCGTCGCTAGGCTCTGCGCTAAATGACAGGGGACGACCGAGGATGAGTTGACACTCGCAACTCGCGGCCGAGGCGACTTCCAATTACTCAAAAAAACAGGTGAGGGGACTCGACTATTCTTCTGTCCGAGGCTTCAAACAAAAAATATATCCGAAATAAATGCAGCTGCGCTGCTGCGCCGAGTTCTCAAGGGCAGTCCAAAACCGCAGCCAGCCGCCGGGGGCCGAGCCAGCCAGCCAGCCAGGGACGTCCAGTCCACGAAACGACCCCTCGCTACAACCTCTACAACGCGCGCCTACGGCGCGCCGCGCCGTCCTGGGGCGGCTGCGGCGACCGGCTGGCCGCCGGCCACGCGCGTCGGCGCTCGCGCTTCCGTCACCCCCGGCGGGCCACTCCGGATTCTAACTAGATTTTGACATGTATCCCGCACGAAAATCGCAAGATTTGCACATGCAACGTCTACATTGAAGAAATGGGTGGCTGTCAGCGACCGAGCCAGCCAGCCAGCCAACATCTACCTCACGGTCAGCCAAACCGGCTCCCGGCGGAGGATTTTCATCCACTTTATCAAAAAAGTTCCCCCAACGAGCGCGCGAAACATATCTATCGACGGCTGCCGATTGATCTTTCGTCCGCCCAACTGCGGACACTAGATCTCACACTGCGGGCTGCCTCCGCGTCGCGCGTCCGCAGCACATGGGCAACCCTATAGCAAGTCCTCCTGGCAGCTGCGGCGGACCCTCACGACGCGGCTCCATCTCGAAGGAGTTGCCATAGCGCATTGTGGTTCTCGAGCGCGGCGGGCTCCACGTCCTGCGCGCTGCGCGGGCCCTAATGATCTCAGCTTCTGCGCGTCCCCGCGAGGATCAGACTGGGGTTTTGGAATCTCCGCCCCCGAGTTCCTACGGCGATGTAGGCTCGTTTTCTCCCCCTGTGGGCTGGAACATGCCGAATGCCGTGTCGAAAGTTGTCCGTCCATCGACATCGACGTGCGAAATGCTGCCGAAATCAGGGTTAGTATTGATCGATTAATTCAAGAATCAATGTTGTTTGAAGAAGTTAATGTATCTCCACTTTTGATGAAGTGGATGAAAGATTGTTATCGTGGACTGCCCTAGGAGTTCTTGGCATTCGATTGTCGACAGCCCGAGTTCCTGGAACTCAAACCGAAGTCGGCGAGTTGGACCCCCGCGCCCACCCTGGCGGGCTGCGCGCTATTTTCGGTCACACATGCCGGCGTTTCTTTGGCTTGGAAGCGCGACGGGCCGCCCGGGGGACGGGCTGCTCGGCGCCGAGTCGTTCGTGATGGCGCGCCCAGGCCGCGCAGAGCCCCCGCGCCGGTGCTCTGGGGCCGCCCGGCTCGTGCTCGGGGTCAAATTGGTTGCCGGGATCCAGGGGCAGCCTCGCGCGACGGTTGAACCCGATCCGGGTGCTGCGCGCGCGGTGCGCGCCCGTGTCGCAGAGACCTTGGAATCCAAAGTCTTCGACCTCTATGGTCGAGCGCATCAAATAGGACTCCCGCACTACATAGACGAACGATCCCCGACGCTCCGTGAACTCGAACACGGCGGAAAAGGGTGCGGGGACCGCGGGCAACCCTTTCCCGACCCCTTGCGGCGCCTCGTGCGCGACGCGACGCAATCCTGGGGAGTGCATCTCTCGGGGAATGTGTCGTCGACAGGCTTCCGATCCTCGCTGCAGCGGGGGTTGTCTCTTGACTCGGTTCCTGCGTCGAGCTACGGGCTGGTGAAGACGACTTTTTCGTCCATAGTCGAGCGCGGACTTTGCGCGTTTCGTGTCACAGCATCAACTCCGACGCGAACTTGGGGATACAATTTGTTGGCTTTGCAATCTGAAATCGCTTAACAATTTTATTACTACTATTGTAAGATGGAACCAACCAAAATCCTAGATTACCGGCTATTAGATCTACTTAATATTAAGATAAGAGATGAGGGCCGGCGCCACGGGGACCCCGGCGGCGATCCGGAGCGTTCCGGCGCGATCCGGAGCGATCTGGAGCGATCTGGAGCGATCTCGATCCACCGACACCCCGCCGAAAAGACGCCGGCGAGCGTCGTCGCTCAGTTCAAGTTGCGAAAACGCGGCGGCCGCCGCGCCGAGCGACGCACGGCCGCCACGCCGAACCCTGACACGATCATCATCCAACGCGTCGGACTCGTCTTAGACCGCGTCACTACGGGTCGTTTCTATGGAAGCGATTTCATCGGGGGACCCTCCGCAGAGCCGGTGCCACCGGCTATCCAGGTCCACTAGCGGGGAAAGCAGATGCTTCCTCGGTGGTTTAAGGGGTCAAAACGCGCCGGTTTCACGCGCGTGCGCGCGGCGGGGGGGGCAGGGGGCGCTCAGGCCTCGGCGTCGGCGTCGTCGCCTGGGACGAGTCAGGTGAGGCGCCCCCGGCTTCCCGACGCTCGGACCTCGTCCGCGTCGCGCTCATCTCGGCTCGGTTTCGGGCGGGCGACCGTCGCGCGTCGCGCGCCCGAAGACGCGACGCGCTCTCCGGAGCGCGCGGGGCGCGCGACGTCGGCGTGGTTCCGCGCGGCGCCGCGCCAAGGAGGGGCTTCTTCTCGAGCGCGGCGCGCGGCGCTCCCTGGTCGAGCGTCGCGCAGTAGAGGAAGAGCGCGCCGGAGGACGCGTAGGACGCGACGACGGACCAGAGCACGAGCCACTTGACGACGGCGTCGGCCGCGCCGCCGGCGAGGAGCGCGTCGTAGACGACGCCTGCGCGGCCCCCGCGGTCGGCCGGGCCGCCGCCGCCCCGGCCCGGCTTCGGGCGGGCGATCGCCCGGGCGCGCGGCGCGCGGCGCGCGCGCGCGACGCCCGAGCGCCGCCCGGGGCGGCGCCGATCGCGTAGGACGCGAGCGACCCGAAGAACGTCGCGATGAGCGTGAAGCAGGCGATGGCGAGCGCGCGGCAGTCCGGTTCGAGCGCGGACTGCATCGTCGCGACGACCTGGGCCGGGGGGCGGGCGCGTCGACGCGGCTCCCGCGCGAGCGTCGACCCGAGCCGCCCGCCGCGCGTCGAGCGCGCGACGCGCGCGCGCGCGGCTCGTCCGCGAACGGGCCGGAGGGCCTCGGATCCGACCGAGGCGGCGCGGCTCGAGGCGCCGCGGGGACGGCCCGCCGGCCGCGTCCCGCGCGGGCGGCGGCGGGCCCGAACCAGCACTCGGCGACGAGGTACTCGAGGAAGAGGCCGAGGAGGATCGAGACGTAGAAGTTGGGCGCGAGGCAGCAGATCGCCATGAACGGCAGCGCGCCGAAGCAGCCGCACGCCTGTGTGGAACTCACCCTGATTCAGGGGGTCCTGACCAAACTCGAGAACTCTCGAGCTCGGTCGCATCGAAGTCGATTCGGGTGATTTCTGGACGAATCGATTGCCCTCCTCGAGTTTTCGAAGCACAGCTGAAGAGCTCGCGTCGAAACTGCCGCGTACGCTCACATTGAAGTCGGGTTGAAGACTCGAATTCCACGCAGCCGCACGCGGGGAGGTACATGCGCGCGCGGGGCTCGACGGCGCGCCACTTGTCCGCCGCCATGCCCCCGAGCCACGAGCCTGCGCGGCGCGCGCGCGCGGTTGGGGGCCTGGCCGCGGGGGCCGGCGCGGCGGGGGCCGCGCGCGGGCGCCGGCCGCGCGCTCAGGAAGCCGCCGGTCGCGACGACGTAGGCGTTGATGTAGGAGTACTCGTCGTCGTAGCCCGGGAAGACGACGCCGTAGAACGTCGGAAGGTAGCCCGCCTGCGGCGGGCGGCAGGCGCGTGGGCCGGCGGGGGGGCGCCGCGGCGGCCGCGCGGCGGCCGCGCGATCGCGTAGCCGCCCATGTAGCGGAGGCTGCTCGCCGCGAAGACGAGGACGACGAGGCGGTTGCCGAAGATGGCGGCGAGCGCCTGCTTGAACGTCTTCTTCGGCGGGCCCGGCGCCGGCGCGCCGGCGTCGCCGCCGGCGGGCTTGGCGGCGCCGCGGCCCGGCTCGGCGACGCCGAGGCCCTCGAGCGCGGCGAGGCCGAAGCCGAGCGCGGCGATGAGGAAGCACGCGTCGCGCCACCCGAGGCTTGTCGCCATGGAGATGCAGAGCGACGCGAGGCCGCCGCCGACCTGCGCGGCCGCGGGCGGTGCCCGGCCGCCGGCGCGCGCGGCCGCGACCCCCCCCCCCCCTTCCGTCGGCGCCGCGCCGCGCGTAGACGCCGCAGGCGAAGAGGCCGTTGGCCTGCGCGCGCTGCGCCTCCGGGAAGTAGTCGGCGATGAGGCTGTAGCTCGCGGGGTTCGAGAAGGCCTGGCCAAAGCCCAACGCCAAACGCCAGAGCAGCACCTCGGCGTACGTCTTCGAGTACCCGATCATGAAGAGCGCCGCGTTCCAGATGAGGCAGCCCGCGAAGATGATGAGCTTCCGCGACGACACGTCGGCGGCCCGCCCCGCGACGAGGCCCGCGAGGCAGAAGGTCGCCGAGAAGCCGTAGCCCGTGAGGATGCCGTAGTCCGCGTAGCTCAACGAGTCGGCCGCCTGGATCGACGTGAAGTCGTCGTCGGCGGACACGTTGTAGAGGTAGTTGAGGCTGTAGCGGCTCCACTGCTGCTGCATGTAGATGAGGCCGAGGATGAGGAGGACGAACCAGCTGTAGCGAGGAGCGGGAGCCATTGCTGACCTGGGCGGCGGGGACGGTGGGCGCACGAGTTTTGGGTCTCGACTTGAGGCGCGCCGGCTTGCGGGGGCGCGGGGATCGCGCTGCGGGGGATGGGGAAGCGGCGGGGATGTCAGCCTCGGGCCCGCGGCGCAGGCGGGGCGATGCGTGTTTGGTGACGACACACGGTCGGGGGCGGAGGCCAATTCAACGAAAAACGGTACCTGCACCTTGTCTCTCAATCCGTCTCACGGTGGAGATTGAGGGGGGTCGGTGGCGCCCTCGGCGCCCTCGGCGCCCTCGGGACGAGGGCGCCGCCCCCTCGTCCGACGCCCTCGGACCCTCGGACGGAGGATCGGCGCCCTCGGACGAGGACTCGGCCGTCGGACGAGCGCGCGGCCGTCGGACGAGCGCACGTCCATCGGACGAGGGCGGCGAACCGTTGGTGACCCCCGGCCCGGGGCGCTGGATGTCCGGGGCTGCGTGATGTGTTTATGACAGGCTTTGCACCCGCGCCGCTCAGCGAATACGCGGAGATGCGCAACGATCTCTGTGGCTGCATGGGCCGCATCCTGACGGACGACGCGCCGGTGAAAACGGGACGTCCAGGCGATGGCGTCGGGGAACAGGCGGGCGGTTCTCAGAGGCTCGAATGGGGCGCGCTCGACGCCTCCCAACCCATCGACTCGTTTCGAATCACTGCAGCATCGGGAATCGTTCGTCGTCACCCAGGCGTCGTCTCGGTACAAGGGCTGGGTCGTGAGACTCGAAATCGTCGAGTTCGTCCGGTCGGGGCTCGGGCGCCGCGGCGGTCCGACGGAGACTCCGTGATGATCCACGGCAGCACCAGCGTCAGCAGCCAGGAGAGATCGTCCCTGGCCGCCCCCGGGCCACGCTCCATCATCGACTGGGGCGACTGCGCGGCCTAGGACCGACAGGACCTCGTGCCCGCGCCGACGTGTAGGCAGCCCACGGCGCCGCGAGGGGAAAGCGCCGCACGGCCGCCGCTCTTGGCTGCGCCCCGTCTCGGGGACCGTCGCGACCGTGGGCGTCAATGCCGGCACCCACGGCGCGCCCAGGGACGCCCAAGGGCTGCGCCTTTGGGCTGCCGCGCCCCCTCATAACCTTCCAACGACGGATGGCCAGAGATTTGCAGTCACGGTTCGAGCGCGCCGGGCGTGCCTGGCCAATCAGCGGCCGTCGGCGCCCTCGGCGCCCTCGGCCATTTCGGACCCTCGGACGCTCGGCTCCCTCGGACGAGGGGAAAATCCCTCAGCCGAGGGCGTCGGCCGAGGGGGCGGCGCCCTCGTCCCGAGGGCGCCGAGCCGGCCGAGGGCGCCACCGACCCCCCTCAAGGTGGAGATGCGACCACTTCGAAGCACGGTGGAACTAAGCGAATGCGGCGTCGGCCGCGTGCACTGATGGGCGCCCCTTGGTCGCCGTGTCGAGGCGACCATAATCCGTACTCAAAGCTTCCCCTGAGGTGCCCCATACGCCTAGCGCCGGGGGCGCCGAGCTGCCGGCGCCGAGCTGCCCATCGCGTGGGTGGACCTCGGCGCGCTACCGCCTCGCTTTTGTAGAACTTTATTTTTTTATTAGTCCGCCCGCGCGCCACGAAATCGCACCCCCGGCGCGCGGCGTATGGGGCCGGGCACCTCAGAGGAAGCTGTCAGCGCGGATTACTACGAGTTCAAGGCCGACGCCGCGGCCAAGGTCGTGACGGCCAAGGCGCTCCTGGGCGTCGTCGGCTCGTTCAAATTCATGCTCGCGCTGACCATCTTCAGGGACATCCTCACGCAGCTCAACCTCGTGTCGAAGGCCTTCCAGAAGGCGCACGTCTACTACAACGACGCCCGGGAGATCCTCGCATCGGTGAAGGCCGGCCTCACGGCCCAGTACCTGACCCCGGACTTCGTCGGCGGCGAAGACGACGAGCTTCACGTACAACAAGGTCCCGGGCCTGACGCGCAACCAGAAGGACGAGCGATGGGTTCGCGAGGGCGCCGTAAAATACGTCCAGTCCATCATGGACGGCCTGGAGACGCGCTTCCCGGACGACGACAAATTGTCGGCCCTCTGCATCTTCGATTTCACGCGCCTGCCGTCGACCCAGGAGCAGTGGGACGCCTCCAAGACGGACTTCGGGCTTGACGAGGTCGACACGCTGCTCAAGCACTTCGGCACGGTCCAGATCACGTCGACGCGGCGCTACGAGCGCTTCTCAAGGGTGACTAGGTGGTGGTGCGTGATGTCGAGAGGCGGTTCCCCGCCGCGGGGGGGGACTGAGAGTCCGCAAAAAACAGCAAAAACGGACCGAGTTAAGCGGGCCTGGTCCGGCCGGCGTCAGCGGGCGACGCGGTAGACCGGCGGCGGGTCGTCGGAGCTGTCGTCGCCGGCGTCGCGGGCGCCGGCGCCCCCGGCGCGCCGCGCGCGGAGGTCCGCGAGGTGGCGGCGGAGGAACGCGTCGAGCTGGGGCCGGTAGAGCGGCGGGAGGTCGCCGAGCGCCGCGAGCGCAGGCCGCGCGACGTCGCGCGGCACCGCGAGCGCCGGCGGCCGCGCGCGGCCGCGGACGAGGCGCTTCCGGTGGACCTGGGCGTTGAGCGCGCGGATGAGGAGCCGCGCGTCGTCGTCCGCGGCCCGGGCCGCGCCGGCGCCGCGCGCGTCGCGGAGCCGCGCGAGCGCGGGCGCGGGCCGGAGCGCGGCGCCGCCGCGCCAGAGGCCCGCGTAGGCGGCGCCGAGCCAGCCGAGGAGCGCGCGCGCGAGCGGCCGGTCGCGCGCCGCGGCGCCGCGGAGCGCGGCGGCGGCGGCGGCGACGACGTCCGCGGCCGGCGCCGCGTACGCGCTCGCGCGCTCGCGGAAGGACCGGTCCGGCGCGAGGCCGACGTGGCGCGAGAGCGACGCGAGCAGCGTGCGATCGTCCTCGAAGCCCGCGCCCCGCGCGACGTCGCGCCACGCGCGGACGACGGCGTCGACCTGCGCGGACATCAAATTTTCAACCCGACTTCAATGTGCGCGTATTCGACAGTTTCGACGCGAGCTCTTCGGTTGTGCTTCGAGAACTCGACGAGGGCAATCGATTCGTCCAAAAATCAGCCGAATCGACGTCGACGTGACCGAGCTCGAGAGAATGTTGAAGTTTGGCCCCGACGTCCCAGCTCACTGGTTGATTTGCACACAGGCGTCGACGGCCGCCGCCGCCGCGGCGCCGTCGCGGAGGAGCGCGTCCGCGGGCGCCGCGAGGAGCGGCGGCAGGACCGCGCGCGCGAGCGCGCCGAAGGCCGCGGAGCCGACGACGTGGCGGAGCTGGTCCCGGCGCCGCCGCGCCGCCTCGAGCTCGAGCGCGTCCGCGAGGTCGCGCGCGGACGTCGCCAGGACGTCCGCGCGCGCGAGGAGGTAGGCGGCGCCGTCGCCGCCCTCGGGCCCGTCGGGCGCGGCGTCGGGCCGCGCGGCGGGCGGCGGCGGCGGCGGCGCGCCGCCGGGCGGCGGCGCGGCGCCGCCGCGGGGCGCGGGCGCCGTCGCGCCGCCGCGAACCCCGCGGCGCCGGCGGCGGAGCGCGTCGCGGAACGCGCGGTCGAGCGCGTCCGCGCTCTCGACCTCGGCGGCGAGAAGCGACGCCTTCCGCTTCGAGAGCCGCGCACGCGCGGCGGCGACGAGGCGGCCCGCGCGGTCGACGTCGAGGGCCTCGGCGACCCAGTACTCGGCGACGGAGCAGCCGCCGAGCACGGCGCGCCGCGCGAGGAGGATCTCGACCCAGCCGAGCACCGTCCGCTCCGTGACGGGGCCCTCGCGGAGCGCGGCGTCGCGCGCGACGGACGTCGGCGCGACGTGGTACGCGAGGCTCAGGAGCCGCCGGTTGCCGCCGAGCCGCATGAAGTGCGCCGCGGACCGCCGGAGGAGCCGCGCGGCCGCGCGCGCAAGCGCCTCGGCGCCGCCAGCGCCCGGGCGCGGCGCGGGCGCGGGCGCGGGCGCGGGCGCGGGCGCGGGCGCGGCGCGGGTGCCGTCGACGGCGGCGCGGAGCGCCTCGAAGACGTCGCCCCAGTCCGCGGCCTCGAAGCCGTCCGGCGCGAGCGGCGCCGCCGCTCCGCGCGCGCGCCGCTCGCCGGCGACGTCGAGGAGCGCGACTCCGTAGGCCAGCGGCGATGCGAGCGCGCCGACGGCGCGGTCGCGGACGCCGTGGCCCGTCGCGACGGCGCGCCACGCGCCCGCGTCGACGCAGTCGCGGAACGCGGCGGCGACGGCCGCGCGCCGCGCGGCGGCCGCCGCGGGGCCCGGCCGCGGCCGCGGCGTTCCCGGCGCCGCAGGCTCGAGCCGCGCGTCGAAGAACGCGAGCGCGACGAGGGGGCAGCCCGCGACGATCGCGCGGCCGACGCGGAGCGCCGGCGACCGCGGCGCGAAGTCGGCGACGTCGCCGCGCGAGCCCAGCGTCGCGGCGACGTAGGCGTCGACGTCCGCGCCGACGCAGCGCCGGAGGCACCACCGCGCGAGGACGAGCTCGCGCTCCGCGGCGCTGTCGACGACGTAGGGCAGCCGGTCCTCGAGCGACTCCTCGGCCGGCGCGCGGCCGCCGCCCCGCGGCCCGCCCCGGGCGCCGCCGCGGCCCGGCGCGGCCGCGCCGGCGCTGTCGCCCGACGCGAGGCACGCGAGCTCCCACGACTCGAAGCGCCGCCGCTCGCCTGCGCGCGGGGCCCGGGGCGTCGAGGTCCAGGGGGACGAAGTCGTCGTCGCCGGCGCCGTCGAAGTCCGTCCGCGCGGGCGCTCGCCGCGGCGGCCCGCGGCGCACGCGCGGAGGCGCCCGAGGGACCGGCGGAGCCAGAGCGGCGCGCGGCAGGCCCAGCGCGAGGCCCGGCCGGCGTCGGGCCCGGGCCCCGCGCCGGCGCCGGGCGCCGCGGGGCCCGCGGGGCCCGGCGCGGCCGAGCCGTCGCCGTCGCCGGCGTCGCCCATCTGCTGGTCGAGGAAGAGGCTCACCTGTTTGACCCACTCCGGCGATGCGTGCGCCTTCTGGAGCTTGAAGTGGGCCGCCTTGACCTGCGGCGCGGCGTTCGGGACGCGGCGGCGGCGGCGCGCGGCGGCGTCGGCGCCGGCGCCGCGCGCGGCCGAAGGGGTCGCCCGCGTCGACGTCGACGGCGACCTTGACCTCCTCGAGGCCCGCGGCGCCCGGCGCGGCGCCCGGCGCGGCGCCGTCGTGCCCCGGCGCTTCCGTCGCCTCGCGCGCGGACACGACCTGCGACCATGTCAGCGGCGGCGCCTCATCGAAGCCGCCGCCTCCTGGGTCCTCGAAGTCGTCGCCGCCGTCGTGAGACTTCACGTCGGCAAGCGCGCGGTGGGACGCGCGCAGCGACTGCCAGCGCGCCTCGCTCATCGTGGCGGAGTGGGGAGGCAGTCGGGAGCTCGAGCGCGCTTGAAGATGCAAGATGCCGGAGGTGAGCTCTTTTTTTAAAAACCCTGCAGAACCCGGACGAGCTCCAGAAGCACCCGGAGATCATGGCCCTCTACGAGGATCGGCCGGCGGCTGCCCCGCTCCGGCCGCACGTGGCAGCGCCCCCCCCTCTCCTTCCCCCCCCCCCCTTTTTCTCCGCTCGCCCTCGGAGAGAGCTCCCTCCGTTTACCCCCTTCCGCCCCCCCGGAACGCGGCCTTGTCCGCCTTGGCAGGCTTATCGACGCTTGCCTGGCTCGCTGCGCTCCCCTGCCGTCTTCGACGGCCGCTACTTGACCTCCAGCCCGCGGGGTCTCCGAGTCTTGGCGAACTGCGACCGCGGCTTCCCACCGTCCAGTCCGTTGCGGTGTGAGGGGCTGACCGACGGACCTCCTCAACTGGCTTCGCCTCGGGCGGGCGTTTCCGGTTACCTGAACTCGTCGGCTCTCGACTGCGTGATCTTCACGATCTCCGACCTGGTCCGCGCGCGCCGACGGCCGCCCATCTCATGAGCCCATGGGTTGCCCACGTTATCCTTCAACAACGAGGGCTGCTGCCCCAGCTGCAGCACACATCACGATGGCGGCGGAGCCTCCAGGCAGCGGGGCGTGCTGGGATGGCGTGGTGCGTCTCATCGTCGTCGGCGACGCCGGCTCCGGGAAGAGCGCGGTCATCGAGAGCTTCAGCGCCCACCTGCGGGGCGAGCCGCCGCCGCCGCGCCGGGCGAGCCTCGAGGCCGCGCGGCCGGTGGAGGGTCGCGACGCCTTTGCGCCCTGCGCGCCCGGCGACGTGGGCTTCGACGCTCTCGGGCGTCGCGTCTGCCTCCTCGAGATCCCCGGCGCGCTCGCGGCGCCGGCCGGCGGCGACGCGTTCCTCGCCCTGACGGAGATGCCGCGCGACCAGGGCAGGACAAGGGTGATTCAACGTCGCTTCAACGTGAGTGTTCCGCGCGCGCGCGTTCTGGGAAATGCATCCACGCTTCGAGACCGTTCCGAGAGATGATCGCTCGTCCAAAAATCAGCCGAAACGAGTGGAAAATGGCCGAGAGAGGAGCCTTTGAAGTTGGGAATTTCGCACTCTTGTCCTGCCCAGCGCGCGACGGCCGCGCGGCCGGCGCGCGCGCCGCGGCGGCCCGAGCCCTCCCCCCCCCGCGCGCCCAGGTTCCGCGTGAAGCGGCACGTGTCGCGGGCCGACGGCTGCCTCATCGTCGTCGACGCGTCGCGGCGCGACGCGCTCGACACCGTTGGCCGCTGGCGCCGGCTCGTCGGCGCAGCGCCCGCGCCCGGGCCCCGCCCCCCCCCCCCCCCCCCGGCTGGTGCCGGTGCCGCCCGGGGGGAGCGCGCGTCCGCCGATGCCGGCGCCGTAGGCTCGCTCAAGTCCGAGTGCCCCGTTCTGCTCCTGCTCAACGACTGGTTCGGCGGCGGCGGCCGCTGCGCGCTCGCGGACGACGAGATCACGAGGCGCGTCGACGACCTGGGCATCATCGGCTGGCGCATGTGCGGCTGCGCGCGCGCGGACGACGACGACTCGGTCCTCGACGCGTTCGGCGCGCTCCTCGACTACTGCCACGCGACGGCGCCCCTCCCCGACGAGGTGCGGGCCGAAGACGAGGACGACGACCTCGACCCGAGCCTCATCTCGTGCTCGAACACGAATGTCCAGGGCTGCGCGGTTGCGTAGGTCGCCGCGGAGCTACGACAAGAGCGTGCACCAGCTTCTCAATAAACTCGGAGTTAACTCGGAGTGACGGACATGCTCCACGAGCTAGACGGCTGGGATTCAGGGAACAGCTGGGCCGATCGCAACATGGTTCACGTGGTCCACATCGACAAGCTCGCCGAGACTGTCGGTGCTGACGACCCGGCTGGTGAAGATACTTTTTATGATAGATCTGAGCTGCCGCCAAGTTTGAGGGAGAAATTGTCATGTGCGGCTAGAACCACCCGGCCCAGCGCGGCCGCCTCCGTGGCGTGTGTGTTCCCTCGCGTCCGTGATCCGTGGTCGCGCAGCGATGGGCAGCGGCGGCGACGTCGAGGCGCCGGGCGACGGCTCGAGCGGCGACGAGAAGGCGCCCGAGTCGAGCGACTCCGAGGACGACGGTTCCGGGTCGGCGCACGACGAGGTCAAGGAGCCGGAGCGGCGGTCGGGCAAGGCGCGCGGGGCCGCCGTGAACAAGGGCAAGGACCCGAACGCCGTCGCGCACGACGGCGCGGCCGGCGGCCGCGGCCGCCGGCGGTCGTCGGCGTCGACGACGGAGGCGCCGCGCGTGACCGTCGTGACGGAGGTGCCGGACTTCGTCGCCATCCCCGTCGTCAAGTTCCACCTCCGCAAGGAGGCGGCGACACAGGCCGCGTACCAGGTCGTCATCGCGCTCTACGTGCAGCAGGCGTTCCACGGGAAGATCGGGGAGATCCAGGACATCAAGGGCTTCGTCGCGCTCGCCTCGGACATCGTCTTCGCCGCGTTCTACCTCGGCGCGGCCGCGACGATCACGGGCGCGTACTACTGTCGCGCGCCGGCGCGGCGGGTGCGGCGCGCCGCGGCGGCGCGCCGCGCGCCGGCCGCGGGGCCGCGCGCGCGCCAGCCCCCCCCCCCCCCCCCGGGGGCCG